TCCATTATTTCCTCTACCATATCCGTGAATATCCGTGAAGATGGCCATCATGCACCTTTGGAATGTGGCAGGTGCGTAGCATAGGCCAAACGACATTCTTCGAAAAGCATAGATTCCATAAGGGCAAGTGAACGATGTTTTCTCTCTGTCCTCCGGGGCAATAGTGATCTGATTATACCCCGAGTACCATCCAGAAAGCAAAAGTGGGACCCCCCTGCCAATCTATCCAGCATCTGATCAATGAATGACAGTGGGAAATGGTCTTTCCGGGTAGCCAAGTTCAACTTCCTGTAATTGTTCGTGTAAAGATCAATTCGTTCTTCTCATTTTTCACTACTGTCATACCTCCCTTTTTTGGCACACACTGAACTGGACTGACCCAGTTGCTATCAGAGATGGGGAATATGATTCCCGCATCTAACCACTTAATCACTTCTTTCTTCACCACTTCTTTCATGTTGGGGTTCAGCCTTCTTTGATGTTCTCTGGAAGATTTGTGCCCATCTTCCAGTAAAATCTTATGCATACAGAAGGACAGGATGATACCCTTAATGTCTGCAATGGTCCAACCAATTGTAGTCTTGCACTCTGTCAGTACCTGCAAAAGCTGTTCTGCCTGCACTTCTAACAAACTAGATGAGATAATAACAGGTAAAGTTGAGTTAGGTCCTAAGAAGGCATACCTGAGATGAGATGGCAGTGGCTTCAGTTCCAACTTTGGTGGCTCTTCTATAGATGGCTTAGCTGGAGGAGTTTTTCTTTCCTCTAAGTGTAAAGGCTCAAATTCGAGCTCCCTTCTCCAAAAACCTTGGCCTTCAAGAGCAAGTACCCACTCTGCCAAGTCTTCTCCATTGGCTTCATCTAAGTTCATGATACAGGCTGCTAGAGGGTCTTTAGTGTTCAATGTCTCATCTTCCTCCTCCAAAATTACTTCCACGGCATCTATTAGAGAGCAATTAGCAAATTCACTTGGTCGCCGGATAGATTTCTACACGTTGAATGTTATCTCTTTATCATTTAATCTAATCTTGAGCTCTCCAGTTTCACAGTCAATTAAAGCTCTTCCGGTGGCCAAGAATGGTCTTTCCAAAATTATAGGAATTTCCTCGTCAACCCGACAGTCAAGAATGGCAAAATCTGCTGGGAACACAAACTTCCCAACCTGTACTAATACATTATCTAGAATACCAGAGGGCCTCTTCACTGTCCGGTCAGCCAGCTGTAGTAACATGGACGTGGGTCTAGCTCTTCCAATGCCTAGCCTTTTGTAGATAGCCAGGGGCATAAGTTTTATGCTTGCCCCCAGACCACACAGTGCCTTAGCAAATGCATAGTTGCCTATTGTGCATGGGATTGTGAAACTCCCAGGGTCAGACAGCTTCTTAGAGATGGGTCTCGTCACAACGGCACTGCAAGTCTGAGTCAGTGTAACCGTGGCCATGTCTTGAAAGTCGAACTGCGGGACATCAAGTCCTTCATCATTTTCGCATAACCAGGCATCTCCTTTTAAGCATCAATCAATAGAATGTTTACCTGAATTCGCTTCAAGATCTCCAAGAATTTCTTGTACTGCTCATCTTTCTGATACTTGGCTAATCTCTGTGGGAATGGTGCTGGAGGTCGTTTCTTCCCTGTGATTTGATTTTTTTCTTGCTTAGGCACTGCTTCTACTATCGGTTCCTATGCTACCTCAGTCTCTTTCACAACCTCTTTTTCTTTGTTGACGTTCTCTTGTACATATTGTACCGTCACCTCAGTTAACCCTGCTGAATCATCTATCTCAATGGGTACTGGCACCAGTGTCTCAGTAGGTCTGCTTTCATGAGCAATTTCTTGCTCCAGATCTAGGTCTCTACCATTTCGGAGACTCACTGCCATAAGCTGTTTCGGGCCCTACTCTTTTGGATTGATTTGTGTGTCTGCAGGTAACGTCCCTTGGGGACGATTATTTAAAGCCATCGAAATCTGTCCTAATTGAATCTCAATATTTTTATTGCCGATTCATGTGAGTCTACTCTTTCAGTTATTTTTTAAGTGGACCCATCTTCGTGTCTCACAGTCCGTTGTTGTTGAGGTTGTTGATAAGCCTACTGCTGATTTTGCTGGTTGTAACCCTGTTGCCTTTGGTAAGGCACCACTTGACCTTGTGGTCGCATAGCCCCAAGATTGTTGCTGTTGTTGTACTGCTGCGGAGCTGGTCTATATTGTTGATTCTGCTGACCCCAATTCTGACCACCTTGCCTCTGTCCCACATAGTTGGCCACATAATTCATGTTCTCCTGATATTGTTGGTTATCACTTTCCGCACTCCACGAGAAGACATATGGTTAATTAATGCATGATGTACATAAGCCCCCATTAGTTGCATCAACTATGTGTACCTGCTGCTTCTGGCCTGATTCATCAACCTTTTTAGTGAGGATGCTCATTTGTGTCACTAGAGTGGCCATATTTTCAGCTATGGAGTTAGTTGGGTCTAAAGACACTGAGTGAACCACATGAGTGATTGGAGCGTTTCTTGTCATCCATCCTGAGTTTTGTGCCATCTTGTCAAGTAGGATCTTGCTTTCTCTGAATGTTTTGCTCAAAAATGATCCACCTGCTGAAGCTTCAACATTGTCCTTCAAGCTATCTGCCAAACCCATGTAAAACCTCTGCCCCAACATCTGCTCCGGAATACCATGATGTGGACACGTAGCCAGCAGACCCTTGAACCTCTCCCACGTTTCTTGTAATGTCTCTGTTGGTTTCTGTCTGAAGCTCAATATCTCATCAATTTGTTGAGCAGTCTTATTGGGTGGGTGGAATTTGTTCACAAATTGCTTGACTAATTCATCCCAAGTAGTGATGGAGTTTATGGGGAGTGAATTAAGCCAAGTCTGAGCTGCTCCAGTCACTGAGAATGGAAACAACAACAGTCGTATTGCTTCCGTTGTCACATTATGTTGCCTTTGCTTGGCACAGATCGACAGGAAATTCTTCAGATGCTGCTGAGGATCTTCAACGTATGACCCTGAGAACAGTCCCTTGTTCTGCAACAAATGAAGTATGTTATTTGTGATTTGGAATGATTCTGCTTGTATCTGAGGGACTGCAATTGCGGTTGCTAAGTTGTCGGCGGTGGGCTGTACCCAATTGTACAATGCTGCTTCTGGCACAAGCGACACCACACCCTGATTGTTTGGGTCATTCCCAATTTTTCTGTTGTTTACTTCGTCTCCCATGTCTGGTTTGATTTTTTCTGTTGAGTTCTGTTGTTGTTTGCCTTTCTTGTTTGCACGATTCAATGCCTTGAAAACTTCCTCAGGATCTGATAATGCTTCAAACAATTCACCAGTTCTTGAGGAGTTTCTAGGCATGCACCTGTAAAACTTAAGACTACAAACGTTAGAATTTTAATGTATTCAGTTCAAAATTGAAGAAAATTGACTACACTAAGAATTTTTGCACTTCTTTTAACTGTAATTAAAAACACTGTTAATTCCTCGGCAACGGCGCCAAAATTTGATCACACCCAACTATGCCTTATAAAAAGGATAAAGCGGTCGTTGCAAATATATTCCGGTTAATAAGTCCAGAGTCGATCCCACAGGGAATTAAACACTGCTATTGGACTCACACAAATTCTCGCAATCAATCTTCAGAAATATTTAAGTAATAAAGTGGATGTTTACTAACTAATTAATACGTAAAGAAAATGCAATAAAGAATAACTAACTACGAAACGGGTTGTAAACAAGAATTGGAATGATCTAAGGTTCTGATTTCCCCTATTGTCAGAATCCTTTCCGCTACGTTTGCGATAAATTTTCCTAAGTCTTCTCTATCGATCATGAGCACTCTGACTGTCATAAACCTCTCCCGAGTAATTACACCAATATACTAGATATATTCTTCCGAATTACACTAGCTAGCCTTAAGTACAACTCACTTAGATCACACCCAAGGTTTCGTTATCCCTAATCCCACCTTTAAACCCTTCGTATTGATCCCTCATATACGTTAGGAGTGATGATGTTCAACAACTACCTAAATATGCACTCTCTCCCGAGTAATGCACACTAAATAGGAACAGTTAATTGAGGGCCCTTCAATCAACAGCAATAAGCATACAGTTGAACAAATAGAGAGAATACTATGGCAAATCTATATTAACGTAACGAGAAATTCATCCTCCAATAGGTTCCATCAAAACCCTAGATTAGGACTTTAGCTACTCATACTCATAGTAACAATTTCCCAAATAATTTACATAATTAAATTACAAAGTAAAGATGAAGGAATGAAGAACTCGATGGTAATCTCCTCCGAAAATTGTCCAAAACGTCTTCTCCCTTCCAAAATAGTCTCCCCAGGTCTCAGATGTGTCAAAATTCCTCAAAATAGCGTTTTTATATGTATTTATACCAAGTAGGGTCGGGCCCAGACGAAACACCCTTTCCTGCGCGAAATAGGACTTAGCTCTGTAAAATTTGTACAGGCGCGCCGCATGGGGCGACGCGCCACGCGGTGTGCTTGTGGGGAAGTTTAGAGAGTTGATTCTAACAGGCCGCAGGAAATTTCCATTGGCGTGGCGCACCCTACGCCGCACTGTGTGGCGCGCTTGTGGAGTTTATCAGCAGGCTTGCATTTTCTTGTTAGGCCAATTTTTTTACACTGCCGCGCCGAGTGAAATTATTTCATCCTCTTTTGACATCCAGATTTGGTACACGACCTCCGAACACGATCCCGGCTTAATGTATTGAGCTTTTACTCAGACTTCAAAGCTCCAGATTGATCGATTTAGCTCCAAATTAACTTTTGAACTCGGGATCACTTCCTTCAAAACAAGTACTAAGTATAATTCACTATCATTTGAGCTCAAACACACGTAAAAATACAATAATTGGAATGTAATACTACAGCTAATACACGGATTTCTAGCCTAACATCATCCGCCAATGCAAATTTTATGTGAAGTAGTCCGTGTTTTCTTAATTCAAACAGTGTTCAATTTTCAGATACGATGTGGCATTGGATCTCAATACGTTTGGAGCTATATTCGTACTCGACTTTGCCAAAAAGTGTAGTAAATTGAAGGTTCTTCTTCACGTGTCAACTGGTTGGTACCTTCCACCTCATTTTCTTGGGTCCTTTTTTCTCCTCTAACTTTTTGTTATGCTTATCCTTAAATATTGATTAATCTGTTGCGGCGATTTATTATTTTCATTCAGACTAAAACAAAATTGAAGTGTATTTCATTTAGGATGTTAAGGTTTTAGTGCCTTGTTGTTTTTCCTTTAAAAGGGATTAATGTATTACAGTATTAAGTAGTTGTTTATCAAAATTCCAATGAGTAAAAAGATACATGCAAGAGAGAGGAATACGGTACCTTACCTCTTCCAATTCTTAAACTAACATTTGGACACAAATTTGGTTGAAACTTGAAAAACAAGTTTTCAAAGTTGTGTTAAAAAATAATTTTTGAAAGTTGAAGTTGTATTTGGACATGCTTTTTATTTAGAAAAAAAGTTGAAGTTTTGTGCGTGGAAATATTTTACCCAAAAACTGCCATAAAACTAGTTTTTGGGAATTTGAAAACAATTTAATTTTTTTTTAAAAAACTGATCATATTCCATGAACAAATATTGTTTTCAAAAAAAAATTCAAAACAAACTGCCAAAATTTATGGCCAAACGGTCCCAAATCTCGAGCCTGCTAGTGTTATGACTTTCTTTCTGAAAACAAATGATGAACATTTATAATTGGAAACCTAGAAACTAGTTACACTACTTGATTGATTTTATTTCAAGGAGAAGGAAAAGTAAGAAAAGTAATAAGAAGGTGACTAATTAATTACATTTGTATTCTATAGCGTTTGTATCTGGGGAGAAGGCAGGGTTGATATTGGAGACGCCCTATAGCATGGGGGAGACTCTGAACGGTACATCAGGACTAGATATTGATACAGAGAAGAAAGTTATGGAGGAAACATTGAAACAACTCAAAGCTAAGGGTTCTTCTGAACAATCTATTACTTCAGCCATGAAGGAGCTTGGCCTTGAAAGGTATCTTCCCTAAATTAACATCAACACACAACATCAAAAATATCTTCTTTTTTCTATGTTTTATAATTGTGGTGTTCGGGCAGTTTATGCACACCTCGACTAATAGTGGCGGAGCCACCTTATTATGGAAAAATTACACTATTTAGCTAGGACAAAAATTCATATATATATACACACACACATGCACTATATGTTAACTCACCTTATTTTCTTGGTGTGTATAACTTTTTTGTATTTTGATATCCCTTAATAAAATTTCTAGCTTCGCCACGATCAATTAGTTCCATGGGCTGCTACCTCTCACCAGCGCATATCATAATAATATCAACTAGAGTAACATTTTACTAATATATTCTCTTGACCTTGATTTGTGAAGAGCAAGAAAGTATGGATGGCCCAATACCTATGTATTCACAAAAGCAATGGGAGAGATGCTATTGGGAAACTTGAAAGAAGACATACCTCTTGTAATCCTTCGTCCTACTATAATTACTAGTACCTTCCAAGAACCTTTCCCTGGTTGGGTTGAAGGTATAAGGTATATAAATATAGATCAATACTCCACCTATTTTTAATTTTATTTGTTGAAACCTGAACGAAAAAATTTCATGAGCTGTTTTATTTATAATATAATTGGGGCTTTTCCTCGTCTTCTTTGGGGCATGCAGAACTATTGATAGTTTAGCAGTTGGATATGGTAAAGGAAGACTAACATGCTTCCTCGGCGACCCTAAAGCCGTTATTGACGTAGTAAGTATGAACACTACATATATTGAAGCATATATATTTCAATGAAGATAACGATTTCTGAATATCATTTTCGACTTTAATTTATATAGAGGGCTCAACGGGTGTGCTATATTATGTGCAGATTCCAGCAGATATGGTTGTGAATGCAATGATAGTAAGCATGATGGGTCATGCGGACGAAAGAGGAAGTCAAATAATATACCAGGTCGGATCGTCAGTGTCAAATCCTATAGATTTCACTAGTCTTCAGGACTATGGATTGCGTTACTTCAGAGAGCATCCATGGATTAACAAGGATGGAAAAACAGTCATTGTTGGAAAAGTTACTGTTTTGAGTACAATGGATAGCTTTCACAGATATATGGCCCTTCATTACTTGCTTCCTTTGAAGGTTTGGTTTCATTTTTCACTTATGCCAAACAGCTAGACCTAAATGAATAACAAAAAAGAAACTTATTAAGTTTCTTGTTCTAAATGGTATAATTCTTTGTAATTAGTATTAAAAATTGTTCATCGAATATATATATACAGGTATTAGAAATAGTGAACACAACACTCTGCCAATACTTTCAAGGCAAATGTTTGGAGCTTCACCGGAAAATCAATTTTGTGATGCGGTTGATAGATCTTTACGGGCCCTATTTATTCTTCAAAGGAATGTAAGTAAATACATATCTTTGTACGGTCTAACTTTGTATACAGAGTCCGTCTATAGAAGTTAAACTCATCTTTTCTTTAATCAAGATCTCTCTCTGCGTTGAGTTGTATGATCAGAAGCTAATACCTAATAATGTTGGAAATTTTATGACAGATTTGATGACATGAACACAGAAAAATTACGTAGAGAAGCGAAGGAGGCTGGTATTGAAATGGACGTGTTCAATTTTGATCCCAAGAGCATCAACTGGGAAGATTATTTTATGAACACTCACGTACCTGGTGTGGTAAAATATGTATTTAAGTGATTAAAGCAGGGGGAAAAATTGTTTACCACTTCAAACAATTTATGTTTCTACTTTGATGGTTTAATTGATAAGGTGTGAAAGTGTACCACGTCTCCTTTGCTGATGATACTTATCACTTTCAATTAAATGTATCCATTTTATATTTTTTGATGAAGTAAGAATTTCATTAAAAGCATCGAGAAGATGCATATCAAAACAGGGTACAAGTAAATAGAGTGTGTCTGCTCATAAATAAAACAAAAATAAACCTATGTTAAAACTAAGGAGCAGACACAATCCAAAAAATGATCATAATAGATACAGGTGCCTGATTAAGCCTAGTAAAAAGGTTCAATAAACATTTAGCTTTAAGAGCATGGTTTGGAGTTAATATCCCATCAAAACATCTGCTATTTCTTTCAGTCCATATACACCAGAAAATAGAAGCGGAGACCAAAAGCCAAGTTTTTTTGATGGATTTGCCAACTCTCCAAGAGCAGCAGCTTTTGTAGGCCTCTTTAATACTATTAGGCATGACCCAGGCTAGTCCAAAAATTGAGAAAAACATACTCCACAAATCTGCTGCAACTGCACAAGGGAGAAAAAGATACCTCACACTCTCTCATCTAACACTTGTAGCACCTATTCACTATGTAGATGTTCCTTCGACTTAGATTATCTTGAGTGAGACATGCTTCATATAAGGTTATCCAAGTGAAGCCAATTACTTTAGGTGAAAGTTTAGTTCTCCAGATGAGTTTCCATGGCCAATTGTCAATCAACTCCTTGTTCGAGCACAAATGTGCATAACCTTTCTTGACAGTGAATATCCCATCATGTTGGCCATCCCATAATAGTTTGTCTCTCTCCTAAGGTTTGATAGTGACCCTTGCTAGCTTAGATTGAAGCTCCAGAAAGTCATTTAGCTCCCAGTCCTGTAAGTTTCTCCTTGTTTGTAGGTCCCATGAGCTGTTATGCCATATTTGACCCATTGTGGAGTTTTGGTTGCTAGCTATGAGATATAAATTTGGGTAGTCTTCTTTCAGAGTCTGGTTCCCTAACCACTTATCCTTCCAGAATGATACATGTGCTCCATTCCCTAGCTTTATTGAACAATTGAGTTGGAATTCACCCCATAGGCTTAAAATATGCTTCTAAGGACCAATGTCATGTGGTAACCTACTCTGTTTGGTGCACCATGACTCTGCACCCCATACTTTGCCATGATCACATCTTTCCACCTCCCAGTGTTCTCAATGTTGTACCTCCAATGCCACTTCATTAGCATGCTCATATTGTGCAATGCTAGGTCTTTTATGCCCAATCCTCCATGCTCTTTTGGCAGAATCACTCTTGGCCATTTCACCAGATGAAATTTGTTGTTTTGACTATTCCCTTCCCACTGAAAGTTTATTCTAATTTTGTCTAGCCTTTTCTGCACCCTGGCTGGTATCGAAATAGGGACATGAAGTATGTTGGTATGCTGTCCAGGACACTGTTAATGAGTGTTATTCTGTCCCCTAGTGAAAGATACTGCATTTGCCAAGTTTCAAGCATTTTTTCAAATTTCTCTAATATCCCATTCTAGATATCTGGTGACTTGACTTTGGCTCCAAGTGGTAGACCCAAATATGTTGTGGGAAAAGATCCCACATTGCAACCCATTAGCTCAGCTAGCTCCTCCATATTTGGGACTATATTTACGGGGTAAATAGTGCTCTTCAATCTGTTCATGTGGAGGCCGGATATAGCTTCAAAAATCATGAGTGTGAGGTTAAGATAGAGCACTTGCGACCTATCAGCTCCACAAAAAATAAATGTGTCATCTGCATACAAGAGATGAGAGACACTAATTGAGCTCCTAACAGAACTTTCCACCTTGAAACCCTCCAACCAGTGTATTTGGTTTGCTTTGTCAAGTATTTTGCTAAGGCCTTCCATTGCCAAAATGAACAAAAAGGGTGAGAGAGGATCCCCCTATCTCAATCCTTTCTGTGGGGAGAAGAACCCATCAGGACCTCCATTAACAAGGATTGAATACTTCACAGTTGTTACACAAAACTTGATCCACCTGATCCAACCTGCACCAAACCCCATCTTCCGAAGTATATTGAATAGGTAAGACCAGTTTAGCTGGTCAAAGGCCTTTTCAATATCAAGTTTGAAAAGGAGACCTGGCTGCCCTGATTTCTGTCTCCAGTCTAGTACCTCATTAGCAATTAGTGCAGCATCAATGATTTGTCGTGTTTTGATGAATGCATTTTGATGCCCTGAGACAAGCTTCCCAATCACTCTTTTCAGTCTTTCTACTAGGATTTCGGAGGCAATCTTGTATACACTTCCAATTAAGTTGATAGGTCTATAGTCCTTGAGTTCTATTGCACCTTTCTTCTTGGGAATCAGTGCAATAAAAGAGGCATTGCATGACCTAACCCAGAGGCATTGCATGACCTAACCATCTGGCCATTCTGGTGAAAGTGTTTGAGTGCTCCCATAATATCTTCTTTAATTATCTCCCATAATTTCTAATAAAATGCCATGGTGTAACCATCTGGACTTGGAGCTTTGTTTGGAGCACACTCTTTAATGACTGCTATAACCTCCTCTTCTATAAAGAGGTTCTCTCCAGCTACACTTTTTCTTCCCCTGTGATTGTTGCAACATTATCAAACCTTGCTGTAGGTCTCCAATTCTCATTTTCTGTGTAAAGTCGCCGATAGAAACTAAGAATTTCACCCTTGGTGAGATCTTTGTCTTCCGTAATTTCATCCCCTACTTTGAGTCTGTCAATTTCATTTGATCTTCTGTTGGAATTAGCCATTTTCTGAAAAAACTTTGTGTTCCTGTCGCCTTCTTTGAGCCACAGGCATCTTGATTTTTGCCTCCATGATACTTCTTCTGCTTTGGCCATTTGTTGCACTTCCATTTTTAGGCTTATGATCTTCTCTTTCTCTTCCTGAGTTTGTGTTCTACCTTCAGTGTTCTATTGCAATGTGAGAAGGTCTTCTAGTGCTTTTCTTTTCTTAAGCCCTATCAATCCCAATTCCCCCTTATTCCAGATGGTAAGATCTTTCTTGAGTAGCTTGAGTTTTTGTGTAAGAATAAAGTCGGGACTACCATTGACTTCATAGCTCTGCCACCATGCCTTGACTTTATGCATGAAGCCCTCCATCCCAACCACATGTTCTTAAATTTAAAGTAAGAAGAGTTAGTGTTCCGGTCACCACATTCTAGCATGAGTGGAATGTGATCAGAGATGACATTAGGGAGAGCAATCTGATTGATTTTGCTGAAGGAATCATTCCATTCATTTGAGATCAAAAATCTATCTATTCTAGATGGATGCTTGAATGGTGTCCTCCCCTCTAGTCCATGTGTAAAAAGCCCCCTGCAAAGGAACATCCACCAAGCAAAGATCTTGAATTACATTTGAAAATTTTCGCATGGCCCTGGATCTTCTCACACAATTTAGTCTCTCATTTTCGAATCTGCATACGTTAAAATCACCCCATATAACCCATTAATCAGGCCAAATCCCTCTTATGGCTCCAAGTTCATTCCACAACTCTTCCCTTTCAATGTTAGTGTGCGGCCCATAGACCCCTGTAAAGAACCAACTGAAGATCTCATTTAGACTTTCCAACATACAAGAGATAGAGTAAATTCCATGCTGTATTTGAGAGCAATTCCACTATCTTCTATCCCACATGATGATGATCCCACCCCTAGTACCATTGGCTTTGAGTTCAACCCAATCGACCAATCTGTTGCCCCAAATCTGCCTGGCTAAGAATCTGTTCCACTCTTCTAATTTAGTTTCTTGAAGATAGAGAACATCTGATTTTCACTCACTGATTAATGATTTAAGAGTGTCCCTCTTCCCATTGTTATTCAACCCCCTTATATTCCAGCTCAAAATCTTAACTTTCATCTAGAAAATGATTGGTATTTCCTACCCCTGTTCTTCGTCTCACCCCCATCATAATTCACCGAGCAGATCAATATCTTGACTTCAGTTTCCCCCTTCGTCTTCTTTGTTTTCTTGCCCTTATCCCTTGCTTATTGATCACCAGTTGTTGTTGTCTTCTTTGTTCCATTCTCATAATCATGTCGAAGATTTCATGCTCAAAACCCTTTAAGTTAATTCCAAACACCTTGCATGCTTTCCCATTACCAATTTGGTCCACTTGGATGTTTCAATTATAAAAGGATTCTGAATTCTTTGGTCTACAGAGTCGTACCATAGGAAAGATGGACAGTCGCTGAAAGAGAGAAGAATGAGCAGAATCAGTATCACTTACCAATGGTGAAGTGATCCTCATAGTTGGCCCACGTAGAAGAAGAGGGTAACTCCTTTCCTCTGCTTCATCATCCGCTTCCAAGTGTTGTTCTGTATCTTTTGGTTGGTGAAAATTTGACAAGGATTTGATATGAGGAGTGGGTAATATAATAGGTTGGCTATGGGTTGGTGTAGTGGTAATTGGGCCTTTATATTTCCAGATTTGTTTGGGCCTTTTATAAACAAATTTCTCCTTTCCCTTTCCCCTGTTTTTTGGACTTTTAGAATAGTATGCCTGGTCCAAACTTTTCGTACCCGAAGGCCCAGCATTATCCGACTTAAATGAAAATTGAACCGGCATGGGTTCTTTGCAAAAGTTGTCCATCAATTTTGAATCCCTGCTAGATCTGACCACCACACGATCCTCCACATAGTTGTCAATAGACTTGACAATAGGTTTGGTGGGGTTCGAGATGTCCTTTCCCTGACCCATTCCCTTCAGAGAAACGGCGACCTTTTTCCAACGATTCGTACGTACTCATCTGGTAAGATTGCTATTTTATATCTCCAATCACCCACTTCTACCTCCACCTTGCTTAGAATCTCTGCCAGCGATTCTTTCATGTAGATCCGTGCCCATATCAAATTGGTTCTTGATTTTGTATCCATGTCAATTCCAACAAAGCCTCCACATAATTCCCCGATAGACCGAAAGGTACTTTCTAACCAGACATGTAACAGGATACCAAAGGTTCTAACCCATTTTTTATCTGAGCGTGGCTTTGCCATGTTGGACCCAATCACCGGCGACCGCCATTTAAGTGATAACTTTCTTCCATTCCAAAACCACTCCCCTGCTTTAACTCTCTCGGCTTCCTGTTGTGATGGCAACCGAAAAAGGAATTGATTGTGGGTTACACTTGTTACACTAATTCCTGTTATGACTTGCCATCTCTTAACGAACCAGTTCCGTAAAACCTCTGGTGATGGTGAAGGACTGAACGGGTCGTTGAGAGTACCAATTAGGACAGTAGACAAAAAAATTTGAGTGTTGTTACTTGCTTCTGGTATGATTTTGACCATATTATCTTCCACCACAACTTTCCCTCTTGAACCTTGTTCTGTCCATTCTTCCTTGCTAGCAGCTTCAAAGTATGATACCTCTAGCTTAGTGCGACAATGTATGGTGATGCGATGATTACCCAAAAATTGCAAACTTTTTCCTGCTATATCTCTCCACCCAGTATTATATCCCTCTTCTGGAATTATCACCCATGATTTCTTATCCCCTAGCCATGCTTCAATCCTTACAAAACGACCATAGTGGTTGAAGTTCTGATATACTCTATAGGTGTAGCTTGAATATTTCGCCCCCAACGTCTGCATAAATCATATGTACCCATTGAAGCTTGTTGAAGCTGCTCGCATACCCATTTAAGATTATCCTTGTCGATCTTTAGGTTGCTTGTGAAGCGCCCGCTGCTTTCTACTAATAAGAACCATTTGTGCCGGAGATGGCCATTGGAAAGAGAAAAGTAAAATTGCACATTTCCCAAGTCAGAGTTTCTCTCTCCTTTTCTATGTTTGCCCAAATATTCTCTCCACTCCATTTATATTATATGCTAAGAAGGAAACTATGTCCGAATTACTTTTCTGGTAAGACGCAAACTAGGATAATCAAAGCCTTTTGCATGTTAGCATTTCAAAGAAAAGGTAATAACAAGATAAAACCCCGGAAAATTCGGTTATAATGAGTGTATATACTTAAATATGTAGGTCTGCGACTCTTCAAAAACATCTACTTCCTTAAACATATGAGTGTGCAACCTCTTGAAGAACATCAAGCTCCTTGCATCTTGCAAAGGATTACCAACCTCGATGGAGAAAAACTTCAGATGCCAACACAAATTTGCAGAAACTGATTACCAACATCGACAGAGATAAACTTAAGATGCCAACACAAATTTGCAGAAACTGAAGAATCCATTTGTAATAGAAAAAAACCCGAGAGTGGTGCTGAAGAGATGTATCCCCTGCCAGTCATTTATGTTGCTAATGTTTCAGCTTTGACATTACATTTAGTACAACAGTCTTGACCAGAAGCTGCATTCCATGCAAGGGATTATGCATAATTTCAAATCTTTTATGTTCATTTGACGAACACGCACACAAATAAATTCCCCCCAGTTCATTAATTTGTTGGGGGGTGAGGGGGGGGGGGGGGGGGGAGTTAACTTGGTGAGGAAACAGTTGAGTTGATATGAGTGGGGAACCCATAATGCAATGCAGTTGGTAAGGTTCTAAAAGGCATCACCTTCAAATTTCAAGATTATAGACTGGAGTGAGATGGAGATGGGGACCTCTCTTTCCTCTTACCAGCCAAACCAGAACATCTAATTAAGCCATTCTGACTTGCAAAACTATCTGAATGGCAAGAGTCTTCAATTTGATCACTGCATACAAGTTCACTAACTTCGAAAGCTTCTACACTTGCATGCTGCTTATTGTTGGATTCACATGAAGCTTGTCTGGTGATGCAGAGCCATATCCTTGACGACTCCTCAGCTACTTCACCCGACAGAGGCACATGCCACGATCCGTTCTCGGATTCCTGAGATAGACGTAAAATAATATATGAGATGTAAACATCCAAAGACTAACAATACTGGAACATTATTATATTAATTGGAAACTCAAAATATAGATAGAAAAATATACTAAATAACTTAAGCTAACTGATCGTGAAGTAAAACTAGAAATTAATCAATAGGTCATAATAGATCATTTTTCATTTACCAATCCATACAATGTTAAGTTATGTCATCCAGAAATTGTCATCCAATATGGTATAAGATGCAAGTTAAGGTAAGAGATCAAACTCCGCAAGAATTGATAGAGGTATTAATGCACTTAGGTAGGTCTCAATAGTTAAAGACATATTGATCATCTCAACTCACTACTCGGCAACAAAGAAACACGTCACATTTTTCTTTTATTATAAAAAGGCAGCCTGGTGCATAAAGCATCCCACGTTCACACAGGAACCGGGGAAGGGCCGTCCACCAAGGGATGTAATGTAGGCAACCACCTGCAAGCATCAGTAGTAGCTGATTCCACGGCTCGAACCCGTGACCTATAGTTCACACGGAGACAACTTTACCACTGTTCCAAAGCTCCCCTTCTTTTTTATATTTTTTTATAAAGACACGAGAAAACCGTATAGACTCATCTACATTACCCCTTTTAAACCACTCCAATAAGCATAAATCACGTTAATAAAGATAGCTGGATCATGGGCACTGAGAGCCTATATCTATAACAAATAGATATTTCTCTTAGTTTGTCATCTGGCCTTAAGAATGAGATGAACCCCAGCTTGCTGCGTTTATTCTCTTTCCCTAGACACCGGGAAAATAAAAGAAAATGTATATTTAACATTAAGCGAAAAATAGGAGACACGAATAAAAGGCATAATTGAGATGCTGACAGTCACCTTTGTATAGATTACTATGTATAAAGAACAAGAAACATCAGTCAAGGAAAGAACACAGTTTAATAGCAAATGAGAACAAGATAAAATACCTGAATGACAGCAGAATATGTGGGTGGCATCAGAAGCTTAGGTTCCCCTTTAACAAAAGTGTACTTGACCTACAAAATTACCAAGGCACATCAACTTGTCAAAGTAATTTATTTTTTTCCCAGAGAAACAGAGCGTCACATTATCATAATTATGAAACATCATCTAATCAAATACCCACTAATTATAAGAATCATAGCATAAAACAGACAAATTTTGAAAGAAAGGGATAGCCAAGATAGAGACGGACTAACATAAAATAGTCATAAATAAATGAATGAGTGCCTGAACAATTTTTGAAGTCTTTATAACATAGGTAAGACCATAACTGACCCTCATCCATATTGTCAATGGCCCATTACAAAACTTACGAGGATCAAGTATTCGCATACTTCATATCAAGCCAAATTTTGTTCAATCCATCCAAAAGGGTGATAGTGAAGATAGAGAGGAACTAATATAGTTTAGGTTGGTTGATTAGTGAGATAAAATAATACTGAAACAAGGATTGCAACTCACAGGAACATCAACATCATGACCGGCATAAGATCACAAGTTAATAGACCAATTTACATCGAGTTTTTTTTTATCGAGGCAGTGTCCAGACCAGCTTTTGCACAATAAATATGGATCAAAATTAATTGGATCAAATAACTAATGTCTTCCTATAGCTTAATCATGCCACTAAATAAAGCTATTTGTTGGCTTGATCTACTATGATGAATTACATAAACTTAACATTTTCGATGAAGAGGAAAAACAAAAATGCAAGGCACCAAGAAATAAATTTTCTGATTGATTTCATTTGTCCCTGAAACTATAGACAACCAATTGTTTCTGCCATTGAAGGGCTTGAGATGAATCTAATAACCTGATAGAATTTTTAATCCAAGAACACAAGGGATTTAAAGCCTGTCCATTACATATCAATTGATAGCATTATTCCAAAAGAAGAACAAGAAAATAAAATATATTGAGTACATCATCCAAATCCTATCAATTTTCACATTCAATCTATCATCTGAACAATGGATCTCAATTGAAGGAAAAATATGAATACAAAAGTTACAGGACATAAATTAACTTTTAAGAATCCATAAAAACATAAAATGACTGTAAAGAATGAAATTAATATTTGGAAATATAAATTCTCTAAGCAATTGAACCTGATGTCTTTCTTTCCATATGGCAAAAAAGCTACTGCCCAGGAGCTCAAAAATGTGATCTCTCATTTCATCATTTGTCACGAGCAAACACTTACGTTTCACTGCTGCATAAAGCCAGTACCTATATCATATTGCACTACGTCAGATAGCATAGGGTTTTTTTTGGTGGTAATAACTGTAAATATTACCATACAAACAAATTCAAGTTCCGTACACCATATATAACGTAGATTTACTGAGAATGCTATAGGAAAATAATATACAACAATCAAATGGACAAGAAGAAACACGGTATTTTCTCGATTCCCAGGTAAATACTAAATATTGCATATTATCACAGGAGGCACAAGAAAAGCTAGACAAATGATGACTACAAGAGGTCTCAACAATGTAAAAAGGTGAAGGAAATCAATGTGATATAAAATTGCTAAATTCAACTTTTCGTTGATCATTAGAATACTTTAAAACAAACCTAGTGAAGAGGGGAGAAGAGAGGTCATAAAGTCTTGGGCTTTTACCAGTCATCATTGGATCCAAAGGGTGTTCCATAAAGTACTTTTTCATTTATCCACTCTTCAAGCAACTCTCTATAGCAAGCATCCTCAAGAAGTGCACGAAGACGCTTCTTATGTAATACAACCAGTGGCCACTTGTTGCTTCTGCTATGCAATTCTTTCACAACAATTACAAGCTGCTCTATTGCAATACATGATGGAACATGAGTCAAAATGCTGTTTTAAAAACATTAAATTGAAGAACCAAACGAAATGTCAGTAAATAGCAAACTTAATATTTACAACCTGTGCAATACTAAATCCACCCTCAGCAAAGTTCTGCTGATAGAGCCCAACATTTGCTGCATCCACCACAGCATCATATTCTGAATGCTGTTCCAACCAGTCCTAAGCAATTCAAGGAGAAGTTAGGAGAAAACTCAGAGAATACGTGAAAGACACAGCATATATGTCACATTTGAATAGAATCGTTGTGGTAAATCACATACAAAGAAGAAAAAAAAAGTAACTTCCTCACCTGAAATTCCTTAAAATTAGAATGAACTTCCCTTTCCATAGCCAAAGAAGCGACTGCCTCCGCAAATCTTTCTGTCTCTGCTTTGTCAATATCAACACAAACCAACTGTTCTCGACAAGTTAGACACCTCCCATCTGGAGCTATTCGGGACCTCTGTACAGTCCATTTACCCTTTCCAAGCCATCCACGACCGTGCCACCCCCCTCCATTTTGTAAAATTGCTTCTTTCACCTGACCCATGTCCCAGTCGGATAACCCCACCTTAGCTGCCACTTCCCCTCCAAACCAACTATGTATGATTTCTGCTGCTGACTCACTTACACTCCTAACTGACATTCTCAGTTTATGTAAATATTGATAGACCTTCTCTTCCCTTTCTTTCTCCACACTCACCTGAAAGAAGGTAAAAGTACAATCAACAAACTATGCCTCAATCCCAAATAGTTGGAGACAGCATTATGAATCCTATAACTATTCCGCTCTATTAGCCCCCATTTCATTCCTATACCGAATAATTTGAAGGTTAGTACAAACGTTAAACAAAAATCAGCATATTACAACTTACTAAACTATTGACCGGTGTATAAGTTCCGCTTTCCCACTAAACAAAAACATGGTACGTTCTTTTAGTTGAGTACAACCTAGCAATCCCACCCCACCCACACTCCAACCACACACAGAATTGCAGCCTATCCCAGAGATCTTAATAGATAGCAAAACCAATAGAACGAAAGTTTTGACAAATGTCAAATGCAAAGCAGTGCAAAACTAGTCTGGATTAGCTATATGGATCATGTTTAACCATTCCGCTCTATTCGAGCCCATCTATTCCAATATGTAATAACTTGGAAGATAAAAGTACAAACATAAAATAAAAATCTGCATATTACAATTCATTGAACCATCAACCAGTGTACCAATTAGTCTTTTCCACAAACAAAATACATGGTGCAAGAAGACTATATCTTGAACCACCATCTAAACAAACTACAACATGAAATTACCAAAACGCTCATTAATTAGCTAATTAGCAATAACTAGGAAAATATAAAAACAAAGAAAGAACTCACTTTTAACAAACCAACAAGCTCAGCTTCCTCAAGTTGCAACCCAATAGACCTCATGTGATCTTCAACTTGATAGGCCTTATCAGCCTCACCCATCTTACAATAACAAAACAAAGCCGGCCCATAAGTCCTTAACTTCCCACAATTCCCCATTCCTTTAGCTAACTCAAACGCTTTATCACCATCATCAGTTGCAGCCGCAAGCCTAGCAACTGCCGTGACAGTAGCCTCATTGGGGGTTACATTGCTCGAAACCATATGATCAAAGATTCGAAACCCGAATTCGATAGCGGGTTTTTTCGTTGATGGGTCTGAAACAGCGTTGGAGCAGATATAAAGAAAAGAGTTGAAGTGGTTATTGGAAAAGCGGATTGTTGAAAGAGCAGATTCGTATAAGGAGATGGCAGTTGAAAGATCTTTGGTTTTTGAACAGTTGTCTAGGCTTAAGCGAAATTGGACTTCTGGGGTTGGGTTTTTCTTCTTCTTTTTGGCTTTGTCCATTTTTTCCGGTAGTGCACGGCTGCGACGGCGGAGGTAATAGACCTGGGAATGGAGCTATTGTTTTGGGTTTTGGGTTAATGTGAGGGTTTAGTGCCTTCTCTTTTACTTTTAACTTTTGTAAACCCATCAAAAATCCCAATTTTTTTAATATTGGAGTAATGAAATAAAACAATAAAGAAGAAGAATTTACAATATTGTAGAGAAAGAGAGAGTAATTCTTATTGAATTTTTTGGGATGATTTACAATGGGTAAGACCCCACTATTTATAGGGGAAAAATAACTTAGTGACAAAGTAAAACTCTTTACAAGATAGACATTCACTCTAATTACAATTCTATTCATAGCACTCCCCCTTGAATGTCTACTTAATAAGTAATGTGCCTCGTTAAAACCTTAACTAAAATAAAACCCAATGGAAAAAAATTCTAGAAAAGGAAAAAGAGTACACATATTTAATAATCCGCCTTTTGGTTGCCTCGTTAAAAACCTTGCAAGGAAAATCTAGTGGGACAAAACCTTGTAAGGAAAAAAGAGTTCAACACATATTAAACTCCCCCTGATGAGAACATCAATTTACATCCTTGAGCCTTCGCATCCCAATCTTGTGCACTAGCTTCTTGATGACGTCGGTAGAGATTTTGTGAACAAATCAGCCATATTATCACTTGAACGAATCTGTTGCACATTGATATCACCATTCTTTTGAAGATCATGTGTGAAAAATAACTTTGGTGAAGTGTGCTTTGTTCTATCTCCTTTTATTAATCCTCCCTTCAATTGGGCTATGCATGCTGCATTGTCTTCATACAAAATCGTGGGTAGTTTGTCACATTTCAAACCACATTTGTCTCGAATAAGATGTATTATAGACCTCAACCACACACACTCTCGACTTGCTTCATGAATGGCAATTATCTCAGCATGATTAGATGAAGTAGCTACAATTGATTGCTTAGTCGATCGCCAAGATATGGCAGTGCCTCCACAGGTAAACACATAACATGTTTGAGATCGAGCCTTGTGTGGATCGGATAAATACCCGGCATCGGCATAACCAACAAGATGAGGACTGCAATTATTGCCATAAAATAAGCCTATATCGGTAATTCCTTTTAGATACCGCAATATGTGTTTGATTCCATTCCAGTGTCGCCTTGTAGGAGCAAAGCTATATCTTGCTAAGACATTAACTGAAAAAGTTATGTAAAGCCTTGTAGTGTTAGCAAGATACATTCGTGCACCAATTGCACTAAGATATGGTACTTCGGGACCAAGTAGCTCTTCATTCTTTTCTTGAGGTCGAAATGGATCCTTCTTCACATCAAGTGATCGAACAATCATCGGAGTACGTAATGGATGTGCTCCATCCATGTAAAACCGTTTTAATACCTTTTCTACGTAGGCAGATTGATGAACAAAAATTCCGTTTGCCAAATGTTAATTTGCAAACCAAGACATAATTTTGTCTTTCCGAGATCTTTCATCTCGAATTCTTTCTTTAAATAATCAATTGCCTTTTGGAGTTCTATAGGAGTTCCAATAAGGTTAATGTCATCAACATATACGGCAAGTACAACGAATTCCGATGTTGTTTTGTTTATAAAAACATATGGACAAATGGCATCATTTATATAACCTTCCTTTAATAAATACTCACTAAGACGATTGTACCACATTCGTCCTGATCGCTTTAGACCATACAAAGATCTTTGCAATTTGATTAAAAACATTTCCCGGTACTTTGAATTATGTGCGTTAGGCATTTTAAATCCCTCGGGAATTTTCATGTATATCTCATTATCAAGTGAGCCATAAAGGTAGGCGGTAACCACATCCATTAAATGCATGTCAAGCTTTTCATGGACAGCAAAACTAATAAGATAACGGAACATTATAGCATCCATAACGGGTGAATATGTCTCTTCATAATCGACACCAGGCCTTTGTGAAAATTCTTGTGCAACAAGGCGTGCCTTATATCTTTGTACCTTATTTTTCTCATTTCCTTTGCCTACAAAGACCCATTTATAGCCAACAGGCTTAACACCATTAGGTGTTTGGACTACAGGCCCAAAAACTTCATGTTTTGCAAGTGAATTCAACTCTGATTGGATTGCTTCTGGCCATTTTGGCCAATCACGTCTTCGTCGACATTCTCCAATAGATTGAGGTTCAAGATCCTCACTATCTTGCATAATGCTAGATGCAACATTATATGCAAAGACATAACCCACCACTATATCCAGTCGATTTAAATTTATCTCAATATCGTTGGATTTATTGACAATTCCTTATTTTCTTGAGTCTCAGGCTTAGTGATTTCCTCATGAATCTCAGGATTGGTTAAATCGTGGATTTCTTCATGAGACTCTTTCGTAGTGTCATCTTGATCATTTGTTTTTCTTTTTCTAGGATTTCGACCCTTAGAACCTAATGGTCTTCCACGTTTTAGGCATGCTTTTGACTCATTAGCTATGACACTAGAAGATTGTCCAACAGGGACATCAATACGGATTGGAATATTCTCTGCAGGGATATGTGATTTTGTTATCCTTTTCAAATCCGTAAATGTATCTGGTATTTGATTTGTTATTTTTTGCAAATGAATAATCTTTTGCACCTCTTTTTCACAAATAGAGGCACGTGGATCATGATGAGACAATGATGGACTTTTTTGCAAAATTTCTGGTTTGGTTTTACCATTTTCTCCCCCTAATTATGGGAAAAGTGTCCCATCGAATCGACAGTCTGCAAATCGTGCAGTGAACAAATCCCCCGTTAATGTTTCGAGGTAGCGAATAATGGAGGGCGATTCAAACCCAGCATATATTCCAAACCTTCTTTGGGAGCCCATTTTGGTGCGATATGGCGGTACTACAGGCACATATACTGCGCATCCAAAAATTCTTAAATGAGATATATTAGGTTCTTGACCCAAAACTAATTTCAACGGGGAATATTTATGATAATTTATCGGTGTGAGACGAACTAGCATTGCTGCATGCAAAATGGCGTGACCCCAAATAGTAGTGGGCAGCCTCGTTTTCATGAGTAACGGTCTTGCTATCAATTGCAGACATTTAATTAAAGACTCTGCAAGGCCATTTTGAGTGTGAACATGAGCTACAGGATGTTCCACTTTTATCCCAATTGATAAGCAATAATCATTAAATGCTTGGGATGAAAACTCAGCAGCATTATCAAGTCTAATAGACTTAATTGGATTATTGGGAAATTACGCCCGTAATCGAATTATTCGTGCCATTAATTTTGCAAACGCGAGGTTACGAGATGACAATAAGCACACATGAGACCATCTAGAAGATAGATGCGTCTATTAAGACCATACAATATCTAAACGACCCACTAGGTGGGTGAATAGGTCCACAAATGTTCCCCTTGTATACGTTCTAAAAACGCAGGGGACTCAATCCCAACTTTTGTTGGTGATGGTCTTATAATTAACTTGCCTTGATAACAAGAAATGCAAGAAAATTCATTATTTAAAAGAATCTTTAAATTCTTTAATGGATGCCCATTTGAGTTTTCTATAATTCGTCTCATCATAATTGATCCAGGGTGTCCCCATCGATCATGCCAAAGTACAAAAGTATTGGAATCATTAACCTTTTGGTTTATGGTAAAATGTGCTTCAATTGCACTAATTCTTGTTCAATAAAGGCCACAAGATAAAGATGGGAACTTCTCAATAACCCTCTTTTGGCCAGAGACATTCTTGGTAATGATGAGATATTCAAGATTATTCTCATCTATTGTCTCAATATGATATCCATTTCGGCGGATATCTTTAAAACTCAACAAGTTCCTCTTGGACTTGGAGGAGAACATTGCATTCTCTATGATAAGTATTATTCCCTTAGGCAGAGTTATAGTAGCTCTTGCAGAGCCTTCAATTAATTTACTACTACTATAAATCGTAGTAACATCTGCCTTACACATACTTAAATGAGAGAAATATTTATTCTCTTTGAATATTGTATGTGTTGTACATGAATCAACTAAACAAATATTTTTACAATTGAACTTTGATCCAAGTTTGCTTTGTGGTATATCCATGTTTGCTTCCAATGGTTTGACATACAAAAGAAAATATACTAATAAATATTAGTATTTAGCACCACTAAACAAAAACAGTAAAATTAGAATATGCTTTCATGTACTATATGGGTTTGCTCAATTAGGCTATCTTTAATAGTCTATATTCTAATTCAACACTAAAATTCATAACAAAATTTTATAAACTAGACTAGTTAATCGTATAGCAGTACTGACTAATTATTAGTAGTGACTGGCGACAAGACAATAATATTACTTTCTTTTGTTAAATATCAAACGTGCAATTCTGAAAATTAACTAAGATGATTTGATTGTCAATTCAACAAACCAAAGAATTAAAGCCGTCAAATCTAGGTAACAAAAAAAAGACATTTGCTTTTGTTGGCGAATGTTCTTGCTAGTTGCCAATTGCCAGTAACAATCTATACATTCATACCTATTTTTTTCAAAACCAGTAACTAAATATTTTCTTCACATTACAATATTACTTCAATAAAAAAAATATGTTAATCCTTAAAATCTAACCAAACTGAAATATTGTTTAAAATAAACAGTAGAACTATATTTAATCAAAACGAACTAACATTATTGCGTAACACAAATAAAACTAATGACTACTACTCATGTAAAGAACTATGATTACATAATGTTTATTCACTAACTACTACGAATAGGAAAAAATAAAATTTAAACTACTCAATCATCTTTAACCACGGATCCATCACCGATCAAGTGGTCTATTTTCTCATCAGGGTGCTCAAAGAAGTCTGTCACATCCAAGTGGGTGATGTCAAAATCATTGTTAGAGACAAAATTGGCTTCAGGGCCTTTAATCTTTAGAGATGCTTGATAAAGCTCAACCAAATGTCTTGGTACACGATAAATATTTGCCCAATGCCCTTTTCCACCGCAACAATAACATTCGATTTCTGAACCATTTGCCTTTGGCTTCTCATCTTTCCCTTTTCACTTTTGGTGGTTATTTTTCTTTGGGGGGTGATTAACACCAGAAAAATTTCTTCCTTGT